CAACCCTAGATCCCCATCGTGAGCCTCCCCAGGCCTACCTGCCCACGACACAACAGACTGGGGCTCCTGCAGGCACAGAGCCAATCTTCAGAGTCAAGCAGAGAGCCCTGTGTCCTCTCTCCTCTCCTGCTCCATGCTGGCCTCCTGACTTTCCCCCAAATTCAGAGTAAAAACACGCATCCACTCTAGGCCTTGGCATGCACAGTGCCCTGTGCCAGGAAGACTCTCCCTTCTCCTCCTTTCCCCTCCCATGGGCTGTCCCAGATGTCCTGAAGTGTCCACTCAGTTACCCCTTCCTCCAGGAAGGCCTCCCTCATCCTTCATGGGGCAGGCCACCCCCACGACATATGCATTCCCATAGCCTCGCTTGGGCTCAGTCTTTCAGGAGTTGATGTCACATACTTGGTCTAAACAGTGCTATACAATCTGGCTGTGACATCTCTCTGACCCCACCTCCCTCCCCTGCTCCCCCTGGCTCTCTGCTCCAGCCCATGGGCCTCTGCTGTGGTGGGCACGTGGTTTGGGTGCATCCCACAAGGATTCATGTATTTCGGAGTGTGGCATGCCGGGAGATGGTATGGAACCTTTAAGAGGTGGGGTCTAGACAGAGGAATTAGGACACTGCCGGTGTCTTGGAGGGCATCTCTGAAGCTCTGCAAGGAACTTAGTTCTGAGAAGGTTGATAAAAGCGAGCCTGGCCCCTCTCCCACCTCCCTACCTTCCTGTCTCACGGCGTGAGTTCTCGCACACACACGCATCCTACTCCAGCCATCCATCACAAGGCCCTCACCAGCTGAGTCAATGCTTGTGTTTGACCCACCAGGGCTATGAGGTAAATAAGCCTCTTTTTTTATTTAAAGTACCCAGCATCTGGCACTCCATTATAGGAACAGAAAACAGACTGGTTCAGCTCCTTGCAGTTCTTGAAGACAGAAGTAGCTCCTGCCTCAGGGCCTTTGCACTTACTCTCACCTGGGTGGCTGCATGACCCCATAGCTCATCTACTTTCCTCAGGTGCCTGCTCAAACATCATCTCCTCAGAGAGGCCTCCCTGACATCGTCCCCTCCCCCATGTACTGAAGCACTGGCCATCATTCTCTCTTCCTCTCTTCATCCTGTTTCATGTCTTTCAGCTGCACTTGCCCAACCTAACGTGGGTGTGACATGATATTGTCTCTTTGCCTGTCCCTTTTCAGCTGTGAGGGACTTCAGGGAGAGTTCACCGCTGCGTCACCAGCATTGCGCACAGCCTCCGGCTGCAGCAGGCCTTGGTAAGATTTGGTGAACAAATAAACGGTCCGATCTAGAGCAGTGAGACTTGGGGACGTCATCCCCACACCAAGGCATCTCAAGGTGTCCTCAGGCCAGCTTTGTAGCTTGAGTGTGGGAGCTGGAGGAGCTGGGGACAGAGGCCTCTGGGAGGCAGAACGGCAACTGCAGATGCCATGGTTGGGAGACAGGCTGGAGAGGCAGCAGGCCCATGAGCTCAGGGGAGAGGGTCAGCTCCCCCTCCCTTCCCCCCACGGGAACTGTGCAAGGACAGAAGGTGACAGTGTCCCTCGCCCCTCACCTGAAGCTGTGCTCTGTACATTTCACAGGTGGACAATGGACCGACGGAGATACAGTCATTTGTTACACAGCTGTGGAGTCCAAGCTTCAAAGGCTGCTCTCCCACCTTTCCTTGACCTTCGCCCTACCTTAGGTGATGCATTCCATCTCTTCCCTTCTGGCTTTGCTCTTGTGTTGTTACCAGCACCACACGTCCTGCCCTAGTCCAGAAAACAAGTTGGTGTCCACCTGACACCCCTGCTGAGGACATCAGACATGTACCTCCTACTCCTGTGCCTCTAACAGAGCTCTGTGTCCTCCAGCTCAGGCAACAGCTCCTCATCCTGGGGCCAAGGACCTGGGGTCTTCCTCACCTTGTCCTTCAAACACATCCAGAATCCTCCCCTTGGTCACACCTACAACCACCACCCTGCTCTGACCTCCTTGCCTCCTGCTGGGACAATAGCCCAGTCACCCCCTCCTTGGTCTCCTCCTCCAGGATGGCCCCACGTCCACAACTCATGCAGCCAGAAGGATCCATGATGATGTCAAGCCAAGGCCCCCTGCGTAGCTACCAGCACTAGAACCTTCAGCAAAGGTGAGAAGACTCTGGATCTACTCGGTCTGTTTCCTTATCCAGCTGCCACAGGCGGCCATGGAGCGATCACTGGCAAGATCTACCTGACTACCAACCCCTTCTCAGTATTCACCAATCGACAATTGCATTCAACATTTGTCCCAACAACCTCACCTCAAGAGGTGTGTCCTACCAACCGACCGGGACGTAGAAAAAATGAGAGTAGGTACAAGGTTTATACTGCGCAGAGAGGAAGGCATCCACAGACAGCCAGGTCGCTGAACTCAGTTTAGCCCACAGTCAAGTGCGATGCACCTGTTTAGAAAAGAGTAGCTGACAGCTGAAGACAAGCAACCAGGGAAAAAGTACACAGACGGGCCAGCTCCAGCAGTGGGGGCTGAGCCCCAGGTTTGGGGCTAGACTGGGCATATAGTGAGACCCTGTCTCAAAAAAAAAAAAAAAAAAAAACAGCCGGGGGTGTAGCTCAAGTGATGGAATTCTTGCCTAGTAAGCATGAGGCCCTGAGTTCAAACCCCGGTACTGCCCCTCCCCCAAAAAAACCAACCCAAAAACAACGACAGAAGGAGGGAAGGAGGGAGGAAGGGAGGGAGGGAGTCTCGACCTCTTTGAAGGCCCTGCCCCCTGCCCCTCTCCCTGCCTCACCCCACCTATCTGGCTCTGTCACCCAGGCTCTTCTGAGGGGCCTCCTTGCTTCTGGGACAATCTTTCCCCAGACAATTGGGAACAGCATGTGACAGTTAGGTCTTGCCTAAGATGTCTCTTTTCTTTTTTTTGGTGGCGGTACTGGTGAGTAAACTCAGGGCCTTGCACAGGAGCCCCCAGACCTTTTTTCTTTTTCTTTTTTTGCTTTAGTTATTTTTAGGAGAGGGTCTGTCATGTTCACCGCCGGGTCAGCCTCAGACTGTGACCCTCTTACCTAAGCCTCCCACATAGCTGGGATCGATCATGGGCGTGTGTACCACCAAACCTAGGTTTTTAGTTAAGATAGGGTATCGCTAACTTTTTGCCTGAGCTGGCTTTGAACTTCAGCCCTCCAGATCTCCACCCCCTGAGTAGCTGGGATTTCAGGCATGAGCCACTGAGACTAGCTACATATTGATCACTTTCCTTGAACAGACCTTCCCAGCTTCACAAGCCTGTGTTTTTGAGAGAACGAGTTATCTTAGGCAGTCTGCCAGCCACCTAGGGCTGGCCACTGAGGGATCTCTAGATGCCAGCACTAACCTGCTCTCAGACTCTGGGACACAGGAAGCCTGAGACCCAGCCCCCACCAAAGCAAGGCAGAAGCCTGCTGGGGATAAAATCCAACCACACAGTTAATAAGTGATGCCAGGCCAGCCACCTTCTCCAGAACTCACAGGGACTTGGGCTGCAGCCATTCCAAAGTGACTATTCCTTTCTGGGAGGAGATGTGGGAAAGAGGCAGGGAGGGCTCACAGGCCTGATAAGATCAGGGGCAGTGACCACCAGAGGTAGGACCACTCAGGAAATAGCCAATGAATACATGGCCTAACCCCTTGAAGAAGGAAGATGGATCCTCAGAAGGAAATTCCACGTTACCTCTGCTCTCTGCTCCTACCAGGTACCTTTGGATCCTTCCACAGCCTGGAGGGTGGCTCCCGTCTGATGGAATTCCTATGAGCAATTACTGTGAACTTCAGAGTCAGCTAGACCAAGGGCAAAGCCTGAGCTGTCATTTACTGGCTGAATATGAAAGACACTGGGCTGAGCCTTCATTCATTCAACAACCATTTTTGTGAGCTTCTACCATGTGTCAACCTCAGACCAACCCAGGAGCAAGCCCTCAGGAGCTGCTTTTATGATAGGGGAGAGAGGAACTGCAAGTGCATTGCCCATGACAAGCACTGAGAGGACAAAACAGGATGATGTCACAGTGACTGGGGGAGGGGGCAACTTTGAGCAGGTGGTCACAAGAAACCTCTCTGAAAGGGCAGGATCAATGGTTATTTTTTTATTTTTATTTTTTTGGTTTTGAGACAAGGTCTGTCCTCGGTTGGCCTCTAGCTCTGGAACCTCTTGCGTCAACCTTTCCAGCGCTGGGATTACAGGCATACACCCCCACGCCCAGCTCAGTATCCACGGTTATTAAATGAAATGTGGCTCTTTGGCTCAGCCCCCTTCAAGTGTTAAGCGCTCAACAAATCTTATGATAACTCCGCTTGTCATTTCCATCCTTTTTCTGTCCTCTCCTCGGAAGAACATGAGTTCCTGGGGCGGGGCAGGCTCGGATACTGCTCTTTGGGCGCCCGGCACAAGGCTGGCACAGAGCTGGAGTAGGCACGGGCCTCTAACCTCTGACACAGTAGGCCTGGGCAGGTGCAGCTCTTGTAAATCGGCTCGGCTGGAGGCAGAGCACCGTATAAAGATCGAGCTGAACGCTCCCGTGCTGCATGCAGCCCATCGCCTCCCTTCGCGCTGCCTGCATACAGTAGGCGCTTAAGGGTGACTACCGAAGAAATGCCCACCTCCGGCTTGGCCTCAACCCATTGCACTAACAAATAACCGAGACGCATCTGGGCGGCGAAGTGCTCGAGTTCCCGAGGGCCCGAGCCAGGCCCGGCTGAGGGCGGAGCAGGGCAAGGCGCGGACGCCCTGCGGCCCCACGCTTCCGCGCCCAGCTGCGCCCAGCTGCGGCCCCGCCCCGGGCACCGCGGTTGGCTGCAGTTCGACGGCCACTGATTGGTTGACGCGGCTCGGGCGTGGGCTCTGATTGGCTGTGACGCGCAGCCCGGCGAAGCTCCCGCCCGCGCCGCCGCCGCGCCCGGCGCTGGGCGGTCATTGGGCGGCGTGATCTCGCCGCGGTTCCGCGGCCGTGCCGCCGCCGCCACCGCCGCCGCCGCCGCCGCCGCCGCCGCCAGCAGAGCGCACCGGGCGGGCCGGGCGGGCCGGGCGAGGGGCCATGGCGGGCGCCGAGGACGGACCGGGCCAGCAACCGGAGCTCGACGAGGATGAGGCGGCCTATTGCCGGCGCTGGGGCGCGCAGCACGCCGGGGCCCGCGAGCTGGCCGCGCTCTACTCGCCAGGTAGGACCTCCGGGCTCCGCCAGGCCTGCAGTCCGCAAGCCGGGCTCCCCAGATCGGGCCCAGACCGGACACTCCAGCCCCCGCCTCTAACTTGAAAATGCTGGCCCAGGTCCAGGGACCCCACCCCAGCCTCGAGCCCAAGTCAGAGCCTCAGCCCCGGGGCTTTCGGGCTGCAGAAATACTCCCAGATCAGGGAACTACCCAAACCTGCCCCCCGGGCTACAAACAGCTCCCGTTGTACTCGTAGATCTGGAATCCTGCAGCCCCTTGGCACCTTAGGTTCCTACACTTAGGACCCCTTGCACAGCCTGGCCTGCCCGGTGCGCTCTGGACCAGTCCAAACCTAAGGCAGCTGTCCCCGGTCTCCTAAAGTCATATCCCACCGTGGGGTCCCCGGATCGGAATCTGCACTCTAGCACCTCATCTGCACCCTGGTCAGGCCCTAGGCAGCAAACACTGACCTCATCCCCCAACCTGGGATCGTTAGTCTCCTTGCTTAGGGAACCCTAACTTGGGATCTCCTGGCTGCAGAGGGCACCAGATGACATTCCCCGGAAGCCCCATTCTAGTTCTAGCTTCAGTGGCTGCAGACTGTGATCTTCTCCCCTCCCTCCTGGAGACACCAGGCAGTGGAAGAATGTAAGCCCCACAGTGTCACATCCCCCACCCACGCCCAGTCCCAGCCTTTGCCCCTCTCCCTCCCCCTGGGTAGGAGGGAGTGGAGCACCCACAGTTCTCCAGACCAGAAGACCCTAGCTATGGCTCCACCCTTTTCCCCCTGCAGGTCAGGTCCCTCCTGCTTCTGTCTTTTCCTCTTTCCCACCGTTCATGCTCCTGCAAACATCAGTCCCCATCTGGTTCTCCTACTCCCAGTGATCCCCAGGAATCTCACTGTGTGGCTCTGGGATGACCCAGTGTCCCAGGGGTTAAGGAGGTGCCTTTGAGAACTCCGGAGTCAGGTGACTGGGAGCTGCCCTAGGTCATCTGTCATCACATCAAGCTTCGTCAGCCATTCTGACATCTTTGCTTTTGTGCGCAGCCCAGGGCTGGGCACCCCCCTTGGTGCCTTGCCCTGGCCAGCCTGGGTTTGATGCAGTCTTTGTCATGGGTGGCAGCGTGACCTTGGGCCTTGTTTTTCCAACTGTATCGTTGATCACCAGAGACTGTATGTGCAATTTTTCAGACCTGACTTGGGCACCTGGTCCGTACTGCCAGTCTCTCTCCAGCCCATACCCCAGACACCCAGCCTTGTGATGTAAAACCTCCTGCTCTCCTTAGAGGAGGCTGGGGTTGGCATCCAAACTACTCAGCTGTGATCTGAGCCAAGTTCCTTTCCCTCCATGGACACAAGGTAAAGTTCATCTGCACCTCAGTGTCCTTAGGAAAAGGAAATGAGGTCACCCACTGTGGCACCAAGCCTGGCATACAGTAGGTACTCCCTGAAGTTCCCCAGTAGTTAGTCTGCCCTTCACTGGAAGCTCAGACAAAGCTGCCTTGCCTCTCTGCCCCTCCGCCCCTCCTTCCCCTCCCTGGATGAGGATTCCGAGGCCCTCCCTTGTCGGCCGCTTTGCCTACCCTGCCTGCTTCCACCCAGCCCAGATGGGTCCAGGCATTCTACACCTCTCCAGGGGATGCTGTCTCATCACTCAATTGCAATTGTATGTCTGTCCCTCTCTGTCCAGCCAGTGGGCTGTCTGTACCCTCCTGGGACCTCAGGCCTGCGGTCAAGGCCTTCTCTACTGACCTGGAGGGAGAGACCAGCCAAACAGGTTCCTCCAAATTCCTCTTCATAGGCCTCTCTCTGCCTGCTGTGTGGCCTTGAGGAAGTATCTTGACCTCTCTGGACCTGACCTATAAAATAAGAGACAAGCATCAACATATCGTAAGCATCTATGTTCCAGTCTCTGTTCTAGACCCTGGAGCAGAACAGCAAAAAGATAGAGGAGCTGAGCTGGCATTTTAGTAAGAGACAGGTGGTAAACCTCCACGCAAAGAAAATGTCTCTCCTCCCTTTCTGCAAATCCATAGCAAGAGGGAAAATATTAACGAGGAATGGCCTGTTAGAGAGCAGACAACTAAGGCCTTCCTAAGTTGGTGGCATTTGAGCACAGACCTGAAGGAAGGGAGGGTAGGAGAGAAGAAACCTTAATATTTTGGGAGGGGTTGGTCCAGACCAGGGAAACAGCAAGTGCAAAGGCCCTGAGGTGGGAACATGGCTGGCACGTTTGTGGAACACTGAGGAGCCTGTAGGCTGGGAAAGAGTTAGCAGGAAAGAGTGGGAGAAGTTCCTGGGTCCTAGGACTGAGTTCTTGGGATTCCTCAGACTGGAGGTGGTTTATCATTTGACAACTGATGGCAATACCAAGGGCGAGTAATGTAGCTGACATTTATTGAGCACTGACTATGTGTGAGGCATCTTCCTCACTTGCTGTCATTCCGTCCTCACTTCACCTGGGTGAGGTGTATTAACTCCTTTTTCCAGAGGAGGACTCTAAGACCCCTCAGGCAGAAGAGCTACTCCTGGAACTCAGGCTGAGGCATTCTAGGTTCTGTGTTCTTCACCTTGGCTGTGGGCATGAGCCAGCAGGGTAGTGTGCAGGAGGGGACAGACATTCCAGGTGAGCAGCCCAGCATATGTGCAGCCCTCTGGCAGAGGGTGGGCCTAGGGTGCCCAGGGCAGGCAGGACAGAGGGAATGGGCAAGGGTGAGGCAAAGGGGACCTTGACTGTGACCCAATTCCATAGGCCCCAAGCATCCTGATAAGTGCTGGGCCTGGTCCTGCTGGACCTGGGAACTGTAGAAAGTTGTATGCAGCACTGCGCTCTGGGTTTGAGTTTCACAACAATGACCTCCCCTCCAGTCCCAGGGCCAGGGCTCATGTGGAACATGGCGAGCCTGGCAGGGCCCCTTTACCTGCTCAGGCCAGGAAGGCAGTAAGGCAGGTGTCCAGCTCCCAACTGGAGCCTACTTTGTACCACTTAGGAGCCTGAAGTGTCCTGGGTCCAGCCATCCATGCACCCAGGCCAACTATGGTTGTCACCATTCCTGGAGGCATCAGAGCCACAGGGCAGGCAGCCTGGCCTGTAGGCCTGAAGTGGAGCCTGTGGGTCACCCAGATGGGTCTGCTCAAAGTCAGACCACAGTGGCCTGGGTGCCCTTTCCCTCCATCCTGGCCAGGCCTGGTCCCACCACACTTGGGGCTGAGCTCCCCCTGTCCCTGCCTCTCTTCTCCATCCCACTTTCTCTCTTTTTTGTCTCCTCATCGCTCTCCCTGTGTCTGTCTCTCATCTTTCTAGATCTCTGATTCCTGTTCTCATCTCCATGTGTATCCATGCCTCTGGTCCCACACTGTCTGTACCTCCTGTTCCCCCATTTCTGTGAGACCTGGGGTCTCCTGAATGTTCAAGTGCCATCAGAAGTGTAGGTTATGTGGGGCTTGTCTCTGCTGGAGTGGGAAGAGGCAGGTGGCGCGAGGCCTTGCCCCTCCCAGACTGTACACCCACTGTGTGTGCCAGCTCCTCCCTAGGCAACAAGTAATCACTGCGGTGGTGATGCGGCCAGACCACCAACACTTCCCTGTCTGTTGAGGGAACAGGACTACCACCAGAGGACAGGCAGGTCGCTTGTGTCCTTAGCCAGGCTTCTGTCATCCCAGCCTGTCTGAAAAGTGACACTAGTAAGGCCACCCAACCCCATAGGCCTGATAGACAGGCTGGTGGTCCATGCTGTTGGTTGTTGATGAGTCACTTTCTCTCTCCAGGATGGGGAGGGCTGGTCCCCAGCTCACAGGGCAGAATGAGGGCGGCAGAGCTGTTGTTATCACTGTGCTTAGCACGCATAAGTGCTCAGTAAAGAAGCTGGTTACCTTACGGAGGTTTTCGGTGGACCAGAACTGAGGTCCCAGTCTGCAGAGCAGCCAGGTCCAGAGAGAGATGGAGTTTAGAAGGGAAGCACCGGTTTCAGGGATGGTCAAAGAGTTCAGCCCTCTCTGGAATCAAGGCAACCAGTATGTCCCACTTAGGACTCCAAGCCTCAGTTTCCTCCTCTGGGAAAGCGCTTCACACAGTTCCTTCCTTGAATGAGAGACTCATTCGGGCTCAAAACCTTAGGTCAGCCACAGGCAGCACAGGGAGGAACTTGTACCCCATCTGCTAGGCCAGAGCTTCCCTGTGTTCTTAGGAGAAGTAAGAAAATAGGGATTTATGTGACTTAAATTTAGCTCATTTAAAAACAAAATGTCGGGTTGGTGAAGTGGCTCAAGTGGTAGAGTGCCTGTCTAGCAAGCGTGAGGCTCTCAGTTCAAACCCCAGTACCGCAAAAAAAAAATGTCAAGAGCAGAGCAGCCAGTGGCATCTTTGATGGATGCGCCGCACCCTCATGGTGGCAGCCATTGTTACTGTCATCTGATCTTCCCACCTGCAACCCTGCAGGCAGGTTGTTAGGGAGAGTTCACCTGTCCTTTCTTTCCTGCTGTGCCCCCTCTCCCCCCAACACACACACAGCAGGGCTTCCTGCTTCTGAGCCCAGGCCCTGCCCACAAACAGGAACCGGAAATGGGAAAGCCCTGGGATGACCTTAAGACTGGGCTGCTGGGGAAGAAGGCTGCATGGCCCAAGGGAAACAGGAATGGGGAGCTGTAGACCCCATTCTGCAGCTGTGTGACCTCCTTGGAAGGCCTCAGTGTCCTCTGTACAGAGGACCAAAGGGTTGTGACCCTGGAGTGTCTCCCCCTCTGAGCATTGGCTTTTTCATGGGCTCAGGGGGGAGCAACTGTCCTGGTCCCTGTCCTGGTTCTGGTTCTGGCAGGGTCAGAGCGGCATGCTGCTGTGTGACCTGGTCGAACCTGGAGTCTGCTATTTCTTCCCAGGGGTGCTCTGGTGAGGGCCCCAGAGACACAGCTACAGCCCGGCTGTCTCCCTTTAGGAGCGTGCTTAGGAATTTGTTTGTTCCACAAGCGTTTATTGAGCACCACCTGGCCCAGGATCCCGGTCCGTAACTGACTAGCTGGGCAGCCTTGGACCATTCCTTGACCTCTCTGACCCTTGGTCTTCTCATCAGCAGAATGCTCACCTGGGCAGGTGCCATGGAGGGTCTTGTGCCTTTGCGATCAGCTGCCTGGGAAAGTAGCTCGGGCTCTGCATCATCCACGTGGTGTTTTTAATTCCTTTTTACAAACTTTTAATAATTAAAAGAAAAATGGTGATCTGGCACATTCTAAAGGGAGTAAGTGGAAAGCCAGCCCCAGTTGTGGAGGCCTCTCTTTACCTAGGTGGCAACTGTGCAACACCTCACTCCTTGCATCCTCGAGGCCTCCTTGTCCTCCATTTCCTTGCCTGGAGCTGCTACATGGCGGCTGGGCAGGCCCTGGGCCTCTGCCTCCAAGTAATTACCTGCAAAGGGGACAGATGGTGCCGGGAAGTTTCCAGTTGAAACAAAGAGGGGGGCTGCAGGAGTGGCTCAAGTGGTAGAGCACCTGCTTAGCAAGCTTGAGGTGCTTGAGGCACTGAGTTCAAACCCCAGTGCCGCCCCCCCCCAACCAAAAAAACCCAGAAGGGACAGTCATTCAGATTCAGCTTCCCTTGGGTGTCAGCAGAGAGTCAAATTTTCAGGTCCTATCTGCTGAAGAATTGGCACGTGCAAGTCCATCCTCACGGGTGTGTGACACTCAGAAGGGCCTTCTCCAAGCCTGAGGGTCATCATCTGTGACATAGGTGGTGGGAGTGGCTGCTAAGACACACTGGCGCTCAGCCTGCTCTCCCCGCAGGCAAGCGTTTCCAGGAGTGGTGCTGCGTGGTCCTCTGCTTCAGCCTCATCGCCCACAACTTGGTCCATCTCCTGCTGCTGGCCCGCTGGGAGCACACGTCCCTTGTCATCGTGGGTGTAGGTGAGTGCACAGCTCCAGCTCCTCACCCCTGACCTGTGTGTGTGCATGTGGTGTGCACACAGGAATGTGACCTGGGAGCCCCACCCCCCCATCTCAGGTGGCAGCACTTCTGCTTGCCCTGTCACTGCAGCCCAACGCCATGATGTCATCCTGGTTCCTCCAATTCTGTTTCAAAATGCTTCCGATCCAGCCATACCCCACCTCCTCCTTGCCTACTGTCTTCCTCTGTCCCCACATCCAGCCACGGGATTTCCTGTTACCCTCAGTCAGGCCAGCCAGGGCCGGTCTTCCTCTCTGTGCTCACAGTGGCAGCTCCATGTGGGTCCCTCTGGCCCCTCCCACCTCAGAGGCCCTCACTTGCCTCTTTCCTGTGCACTCACCCCATTCCCGCCACACACCAACCAACCCACTCTTACCTCAGGGCCTTTGCACATGCTGTTCCCTGTGCCTGGAGCTCTCTTCTTGAAGACAGCTGCATGATTTGTTCCCCCAAGGTCTCTGGTTAGAGGTCCCTCCTCAGAGTGGCTCTCCTTGATTGCCCCTCAAATATAGCAACTCTGTCACGAGCTGTCCCTCCACCCTGCTCTTTGTCTACCCTCAATCAAATGTCAGATTTTTTTCTATTTCCTTCACTGCTGTGTGCCCCACCCCAAACACAAGGTGCCCGATATTTGGTGCCTGGGTGTCTGAATGAAGGAGCGGGCTGCGTTTGTGAGCGACTCCTGGGCACAGTCTACTGGCAAGGCCCCACCCACTCACAGCCTGGGAGGGAGATATCAAGACTGTTGACAGTTCGCAGATGAGAAACCGAGGCTCAGAGACAGCCAGCCACAAGCCACACCTCAGCCAGCACATAGCCTGGACCTTCCTGCCCAGAACCACTCCCGGGTCCCAGGGTAACTTGGTTTTCTTGTCTCTTCTCCCCTCTGCCCTCACTCGGGTGCTCATCTTCCTCCCAGGCCTGCGCTCCGGGCCGCTCCCACAGTCCAACAGAAGCACGATCGCCACCTAAGCCAACAGTGTAGGGCCCAAGGACACAGATGTTCCGAGTCCTAGGGCCCCGTTTCCCATGCAGATGAAATCCAGTACCACATACCTGCCTCTGCAGGCTGCTGTGAGGCCAAAATGCAGGTGTGCGTAAGGACTGAGAACGCCAGGGACCACCAAGAAGAGGGGAGGGGAGGGGACACTACTGCCAACCACTGACCAAGGCTGGTTCCACCTTCCCTGGTCAGCTTAGTAGCAGATGTTTTGTGAATGCCTGTTAGGTGCCAGGCCCAGAACTGGGCAGGCCCCGCTGTTCATGGCAACCTAGTGAGGAGTTCACGTCACCATCCTCTGTGAGACCAGGCAGTAGCAGAGCCTGGGATCTCGAATGCAGACCTGCCTGGCACTCAACCCACAGACTATACCCAGCCAAGGCCAGACAGCCTGCAGTGGACCCTGGGAGCAAAGGGTGGTCTGGGCAGTGGGCCCAGCAGGGTGCTGTGTAGGCTGGGAGGGTGGGTTTCCCCAGCAGGTCACTACCTTGCTTCCCTGGGTAGGACCTGGGCTTCCAGCCCCCAGAAGCTGGAAAAGTCCGCATGGCTCTGGCTCCGTGCCCCACACCTCTGCCTCTGGCTGATAAGTGCAGATAGTCCTGGATAGTGGTGTTTGCACAGTCCCCAATCGATCTAAATAGCTGTTCTGATTTGTGTGTTAACACTCAGCAAGTGATAAGAGCACCATGCCAGCCCTACCATCACTGTCTCCCGAGGTTCCGCCCGGAAATCAGAGAGGTGAAACATGAAAGGTGTCCAGTTGATAAAGCCAGGCACACGTGATGCAATGCCCGTGAGCTAAATCAAGATAAAGAATAGCCTGGGAGGCCTCTGAAGAGTGATATTTGTGTGGAGATCTGGAGGGAGTGAGGGAGGAGGCCTCAAGATAGATATCTTGGGGGAGTGCCTTCCAGGTAAAGGATAGCAAGCGCAAAGGCCCTGAGGCTGATGTACCCCATATATTGGGTGGATGGAGAGGAGGCCAATGTGGCTGGAAAGAATGCTCAAAGGAAAGGGGGAGCTGCACACCAGCAACATGGAGCTGCAAAGGGACTGCCGGATTTAACCCACGAGGGCCATTAGTGACTAACAAAAACAGTGCTGCAGTGATGGGGTAGAAGTTGAAGGTTGCTCCATTGGGGAAAGCCAAGCGAGCATGGGGCTAGGACTTGATCCCTGGAGGAGCCAGTGGGAGTCCTCTAGAGACAGTGGAGGAGAGGGTGTCCTAGCAAGTCGTTGGTGAGTTAGGAGGGCCTGGAGGCAGCTATCCTCGTCTCAGTCCCATCTCTGTGTCTGCGGGGAAGGGTGGTGACTATGCTAAGGCCACTCCCAGGGTGAGCCAGCTGCCAGTCACCAGTGCTGGGACAAAGAGGCTTCTGTGTGCCTGTGCCTGCCACCCTCCCCCGTTAAAGGGGCCTTGCAGCCTGGTGAGCAGCTGGCGTCGGTCCTTTAGAACAGCCACCCCAGGGCCCAGGAAAAGCAGAGCCATTTCCTCCTGCCTAAAACAATTCCTAACTTCAGTCCAAAGTACTTGCCTTCACTGCTCGGCGCCTGGGAGGGCAAACTGGGGCTCCAAGGGGTGAGGGACACCGAGCCCCTCAGAGCTGCCTGTGGGGAACCCTCGCCGCATTACAGGAGCCTGACACTCTGCCTGTGTCCACCTGTCAGGTGGCAAGCCCTGTGTGGGCCTCGTTTCTGGGACCTGGACCTGAGGCTCAGCCGCCTGAGTGCATGTCATTGTGAGTGAGGGACTCCTCCAGTGGCCTCTGGCTACACCCCAGCAGCCCTGACCTGCTCTGCTGCTCGTGACCTTGGGCAGTCCTCCCCAGAGGGTCTCCGCTTCCTCCTCAAGAAAGTCGGGTCCATAGGGACAGAGATTGGCTTTGCTTTAGTAGCGGTGATGTTTCAGAGCAGTTTTAGATTTGCGGAAAGATGGAGAGATACACTGTTCCCATGCACGCCTCCCGGTTGCCTCTCTAAGGTCTTAGGTTGGAAGCCACTGTTGCAATTAACCAGCGATGTTGATACATTCTGAGGCAAGTCCAAAGTTTATTCCCTTTCCTTAGTTTGCCAGCTCTGTCTTCTTCCTGGCCCAGGGACCTATCTAGGAAAGGATGTCATGTTTAGTTGTATGACCCTAAAATTTAGGCTGTCTGGGCTCTGACACTTTTCTGTGTCTGTGTGGTGCTGGTTGTGAAGCCCAGGGCCTTGTATGCTGTCCCACTGAGCCACACACCCCCAGGCTCAGGCTTCTTATTTTCAATGACCTTGACAGTTTTGAGGAAAGCTGGACTGTGTAGAGTGTCCCCCTGTTGCATTTGGTTGGTGTTTTTTTCTCGCGCCTAATCTGAGGACCTGGGATTGGGGAGGAGGTGCAGAGGTAAAGAGCAAGAACGCCCATCAGCAGGACTCCACAGTGAGGCTGCCTGTGGGCACCAGCTCAGGTAACAGTTGTCAGGCCTCTCCCCTCTCCCCTCTCCCCTCTCCCCTCTCCCCTCTCCCCTCTCCCCTGCAAAGTCAGTTTCCCTCCCTGCCACGCTGTGCTCTCTGGAAGTAAGTCCTGTGTAGGGCCTGACTTTGGAGTGGGTGTCAGGCCTCTGCCAGTACATGAGTGTGCTGAGTTCACAGGAAGCATCCACCGTCACAATTAGTTTTGTGATACGGGTTTTGGTTTTGTTTGGTTGGGGTTTTTTGGTTTTTTCCTGTGGAACTAGGGTTTGAATTCAGGTCTTTGCACTTAGAAATCAGGCACTCTAATGCTTGAGCCACACCTCCACTCATTTTGCTCTAGTTGTTTTCGAGATAGGGTCTTTGGAACTGTTTGCCTGGGCTGGCCTTGAACTGTGATACTCCTGATGTCACCCTCCCAAGTAGCTAGGATTACAGGCATGAGCTACCAGCACCCGGTAGTAATAAAGTTATTATCATGTCCTGATCATCTGTGGGAATTGACAGCTTAGGACAATTAAGGAGATGAGCTGGGGACTGCCTAGACCTGGCCTTGGAGCTGCTCGAGGATGAAAGGAGGTGAACCATCTAAGATACTGGCACATGGCTGAGTAGCAAAGGCTGTCAGGTTAAAACCAAGAGTCTCTGCCATCTTCATTTGACGAATGAGGGCTGCTGAGTGCATGTGGTGCTCACTGCCACTGAAGTCCAGCAGTCCCTACCCAACAACAACCAGTGGTCACACATTCTGCCCCGGCCAGGGGCTGGAGTACTACTCAGCAATGCAAAGAGTAATCTCCTGGTGCACATGACACATGGATAACTCTACATGAACTAGTGAAAGAAGCCAGATCAAGAAAGTGCACATGCTGTGTGAGTCGATGTGTATGAAGTTCTAGAACAGACAAAATCGATCCATGCTGATGGGAGGTGGGTCTGTCAGGTTGCATGGAATAATAAGAGGGCACTGTGGGGCCCGAGGGAGCCTCCTGGGGGCTGGGAATGTCCCATGTTAGGATCAACAGATGGCGTCCAAGAACCAAAAACACTTGCAGGCAGAGTCTCACAGGAACACTGCTGCCCTGTTGCTGATGTTTGGTCTGTGCTGCCCCCACTCCATCACGACAGCAGAGTTGAGTTGCAGTAGCAGAGGCTGCAGAGCCCACAGTGTTTGCTGACTGGCCCCAAAAAGAAAGTTGGCCAGTCCTTATGTCCTGTGTAGGTGTGGGATATAGTTTGTGACCAGGGCTGGTCAGCTGGGACAGCTTACACCCTGAACTGTGTGCAGGACAGTCAATTATAATATAAGGTGAGCCAAGACTTGGGGGGACTACTCCAGCCCCACGGGAGCCCAGAGCTCAGAGAACATAGACGCCATCCCCAGATTCCCCACCAGGCCACACTCCCCTGTGGCCCCCAGTCACTGCTCCCCTGTACCTGTGTCTCTTGAAGGCAGCATCAAAGCTGTCACTAGTCAGAGCTTTGGGGACAGACCTCCGAGACTGCGCTAATTATGTAAGTGATGCTGAGGCCCAGAGGAGGCAGGAGGCTTTCCTGGGGTCACACAGCAATATGGTGGCGAGACATGAGGCCTCCCAGCTGCACTGCAGCTCTTGGCCACATGGCCGCTTGTCCTTCCTGCAGCAGAGGCAGCGCGTCCATGGCATTGAATAGTTTTCAGCAGGCACGTTCAGGACGCCCTGGACCTGCTGTAGTGCCATGGGAGGCACCTCTCCCAACCACAGCGGCACTGCCAAGCCACGTGTCTGAGACATGGGGTGACCAGGACGCCCTGGACCTGCTGTAGTGCCATGGGAGGCACCTCTCCCAACCACAGCGGCACTGCCAAGCCACGTGTCTGAGACATGGGGTGACTTCTGAGGCTCTTTCCTTATCAACAAGTGAGGGCAGCTGGCGGAGTGGCTCAAGTGGTAGAGCACCTGCCTAGCATGTATGAGGCCCTCAGTTCAAACCCCAGCACCGCCAAAAAAAAAAGTGGGAAAGTAAGTGCGCCATCCCAGGTGGTGACAGCGCCTTGAGAGAAAGCAGGAGGCAGAAAGATCTGCTTTTGGGCGGATGGCTGTGACCAGGTGAGTTCCATGGCCTGTGTCTGAGAGAGAAGGCTGAGGAGGGACCACCACATCAATGGGAACAGAGTCTGGGAGCACCAAGTACAAGAGGCTTCTTTGTCCTCTGCCCCATCCTCACTAAGGAGCAGGACTGCCAGCCACTGAGCTCCAGCCCGTCCTTTGACTTCTGCACACAATAGGTCCCCAGCTGGCTCCCGCCCTTCTCCCCAGGACCAGCAAGTGCCTGCTGAGCAGCTGCCTCCTGTGCTCCCCCTCTTCCCAGTGGGTGCCCAGGGCCTCTGGGAACTAAGCCACTTAGTTGGTCAAGCAGCTGAATCAGTAGCATGTCCGCAGGCCTACTGTGTGCTGCCTGTACTTGGAGCTACTGTGTGCTGCCTGTACTTGGAGCTACTGTGTGCTGGCTGGTATGTGCCAGTGGCCAGAAGTTAGTCATGAGCAAAACCAGCCTACAACCCATCCCTGTGGAGGGGAGGCCTTAAACAAGACAAGGTGACAAGTGTTGGAAAAGAATCGAGACAGGCAGAGGTAGGGGAGCTGGCAGGTGGCAGGTGGCGTTGAGGACACAAGTGCAGACTTGGAGGGGCAAGGGAGATGAGCTGTGTTGCACGTTGGAAAAGAATGTTCCAGGCAGAGGGAAGGGCACGTGCAAAGACCCAGGGGCGCATGAGGTGTGCAGGGAAAGGGAAGAGGCCACGGGGCTGTGGGGGGCCAACAAGAATGGTGTGGACTTGGCACAGTGCTGCATTACTCAGGCCACTGGCCACTTGCCCTCAGTTTCCCTGTGGAGAGGGAACTTCTGTTTCAGGCTTGGAGCTCAAGGCAGGTTCGGAGTCCAGCTGTGCCATGTGTGACCCTGGCCCAGCTACTTCCGCTCTCCATGCCTGAGTTCCCACCTCTGCAGAGCAGGAACTAAAATACTACCAATTCCTCTTACCATGGTGACCATTCATTGGGATCCATCAGGTGGTGCCGGAAAGTGCTCGATAAGTGGCAACCACTGTGTTCTTTGTAATCACCAGCACTCCCATCTCACAAGGGACACCTGGGGCACAGAGGTGTTAAGTAACTTGTGTGATGTCACACAGCATGTGAGTGGTGGAGCCTGCGCTTAGCCTCTAGGTCCTACTGAACCCTCAAATGAGCGGATGGTTTTGGAGTCTCCAAAGGGGCCCTGCTCTGCTTCTTAGTAGACTGAGAACAGAGACAAGGAAAATCCACATGGTAATGTCTGTTGCTGCTGAAAACCAGGGTTAGGGTGTGTGGCTTCATCTGCAGGTGCAGTGCTTCTGACACCAAATCCAGGAGGACATTTCCAGTCCTCCTCTTCTACCGAGGGTGCAGCAAAGGAGGAAAGGACACCCACCTACCTGAATCAACCCTGGTGATCAGTGGAGTGACAGATGTAGCAGCCAGAGCGCCCTCACATCTGGACTGCCATTCCTGATGGGGGCGGGGCTCATCTGAGTGTGCCCAGTGTATTCTGTCTAGACTCCCCCACAGAGGAGTTCCAGCCTCTCCCAGGGGCAGAGCAAGGATGGGTAGATGGGGCCAGGCGTGTTAGGATGAGGTTCCAAAGGAAGAAAATGTCCCAGTGGAGAAGAGGGAATCCCTTCTTGGTCCCTCCCCTCACCTTCAAACTACCCATCTTTCCCCTCCTCCTCTCCACTGCCAAAGAAATGAGTGGGGTGAATGTGCGTGAATAGGTGACACCCTGGCTGAGGGAAGGGTCAGGGATGGCCCTGCTTGCTGCTTCCCTGGCTTACCCTTCTTTTGCCAACAGTTGCAGGGGCTCTCATTGCTGATTTCCTGTCTGGCCTGGTGCACTGGGGTGCTGACACTTGGGGCTCTGTGGATCTGCCCATTGTGGGGAAGGTACGTATGTCTGCCCTGAGCCTCAGTTTCCCTAAGAGATCAGAACCATCCCTCTAGCCTATCCTTTGCACCCTCCTCCAAAACCAGAGCAAAAATTCCCTGGGATCTGATGGAAGCAAAAGCATGAGGACTGGAGTAGTCAGAGAGTTGTTATGGGGTTGGTTTGTTTGAGATCGAGTCTCACCATGTGACCCAGGCTGGCCTTGAACCTACCACCCTCCTCGTCTGCCTCTCAGAATGCTGGGGACATTCCGGGTTAGAGCCAAATTAAGGCATGGCCAAGCCAGGAGCACAGCCTGCCAGCTCATCTGCGTCAGATAGTCCCTCTTCATCTCTCTGCTTTCCCCTCTTGGGGGTGGTGCTCTTGGCTGCGTAGACATCTATGCTCCCAGCCCCATGGAAAAGAGAACTTTTGCTTTCCCATAGCTGCAGTCCCTTGGCCCATCCCCACTGTGGCCAGAAGGACGGGTGCTCTCATTGGCCGGGCTGGGTCACATGCTCACTGTCAGCCCCAGGCCAGTCAGTCAGAACAGTGATACTGAGAGAAAGGGAGGCTGTTACCAAAAGGCGGGACTTGGGTGCCCCATGCCGTCCTGTACTTCGAGGGGCCACTCACCTGTCTCAGGTGGGGAAGCAGGATGGTGGTTGTCTCCACACCTCTCACAGCACGTTAGGGAGACTGAGGCCCAGAAGGGACAGCCAAGGTCCCTGCCAGGTTGTTTCACTGCACTGCTAGAACTTGGCCTCACGTGGGATCTGTGTCAGGGACAGAGTGTCCCAGGTGGAGGTGACCTGAGGCGGCTGGGTTGGGTCTGGAGCACACTGGCCGCCCAGCTGACCAGCCCAGTTGCCTTCCCCACTGTCCAGGCTTTCATCCGGCCCTTCCGGGAGCATCACATCGACCCCACAGCCATCACACGGCATGACTTCATCGAGACCAATGGCGACAACTGCCTGGTGACCCTGCTGCCACTGCTAAACATGGCCTACAAGTTCCGCACTCAGAGCCCAGGTGAGGCCCGCAGCTAGGGTGGCCTGCAGGAGGCAGAAGAGACTGGTGCTCGTGTGTGTGTGTGTGTGTGTGTGTGTGTGTGTGTGTGTGTTTTGCACCCTCATGGTGTTTAAAATGGTCTTCATGTAAAGCTAAGGGCCTGACCAGCAAGTGCAAGGTCCTGAGATCAAATCCCAGTACTGCCAAAAAAACAAAACAGACAAATCTGGGTTATCTGGCAAAGACCTTGCTTCCCAGCTCCTCCTGGGCAGTCCCATCTGATTAGTGATGTCGCCACCTGGGTCCTTGTTCAAGCTTGGCCTCAGCAAGCAGGAAGTGTATTGCCACCACCCCGACAGGACACCCACACTCCAGCTTCCCACAATCCCAGCTGATCCCTGCCAGGCTGTACTCAGCCATTCTCATTCCTGCCTGACCTTGAGGGCTTTGGAGGAAAGTGTAGGTTCTGGAGCTCATGGCAGAGCGCCCTGGGTCCTGTCCCCAGCATTAAAAATTCAAAGCAAGGGAAGGAGAGTCTGGGCTGGGAGCTTGGGACTGAGTGCTGTGGGGTTGGCGGAGGGACTTGAGTCAGTCAGCACTTGAGCTTCAGGCTGGGAGCCAGAGTCACATCCTAGTCCATCAGGCTGACAGCGCCTCCCCATGGCTGGCCGAGAAAGCCCGAGCAGGTGAGTGGTGAGTGGCCACTGACACTTTGTAGCTGCCCCTGCAGAGGAAGACCTACCAGGGTGTCCCGCCACTTCTGTCCTCTCTTCTCCCCCTCACTGAAGCCTCAAGCTAGCAACTGATGAGCCCCAGTAGGCCGCTGCCTTTGCCTTGGGTTGAGCCAGCTCGACCCAGCTCCCCAGTTGGTTTTCCTGAGGAGAGCCTCCCTCTATAAATAAATCTGTGCACGTGAACCATCTTGGCCCTGCCTCAGGGAACCTGGGTGAACCCAGAGGCCCCACCCAAAGTTCATACAGCCGGCAGTGTCGGGGGATGCGACCTGGCTCTGGCTGGCTGCAGAGACTGAATGCTTAGCAATTCCCTGGCCTCCTCCGTCCTCAGTCCCCGGAGCAGAAGGGGAAGGCCATGCTCAGAGGGGCCGAGCCGGCCCAAGGCCAGATGGGAGTACATGGTGCCATCCTGGCACAGAGGCTGGCAGTGAGGGGTTGGGGAGGTCAGGCAGCAGCCCTGCCCCATGTGACTGCTGTGCGGGTCCTATGGGCCGCTCTTCCCCTCCCCTGCAGAAGCCCTGGAGCAGCTGTACCCCTGGGAGTGCTTTGTCTTCTGTCTGACCATCTTCGGCACCTTCACCAATCAGATCCACAAGTGGTCACATACGTACTTCGGGCTGCCACGCTGGGTCATCCTCCTGCAGGACTGGCACGTTATCCTGCCACGCAAACACCACCGTGTCCACCACGTCTCACCCCATGAGACCTACTTCTGCATCACCACAGGTGCGGCCCACAGCCACCTCAGGTCAGGAGGGCACAGCCCTCCCAGCATTCTCAGAAGGCACATTTATTGAGCACCTGTTGTGTGTGCCAGGCACTCTTCTGGGTGCTGAGGACAGAGCAGTGAACAAGATAGACAGACCTCCTCCCCTACCTCAAGCAGTTAGGACTCCAGCCACCAGACAGACAGTTATTGAGCACCTGCTGTGTGCCAAGTACTGCTCTGGGCTTAGCATCCAGCAGTGAGGGGAACAGACAGAATGCCTGGCCTTGAGTCACTGGCCTTCAGTGGGAACAGTGGCTGGACAAATCACATGTACATCTGAGGAGGCTGACTGTCAGGGAGGACATGAGGCGGGTGGAACAGAGAGATGAGGCCTTTGCCCTTTAAGTTGGAGCTGTCAGGACAGGCACGGACCAAAGAGGGAGGAGGCAGTCCTACCAGGTGGGGCACAGGCCAGCCTGGGCTGCATAGCAAGACCCTATCGCAAAAACTTTGGGGGGAAAAAAAGTGTGATAAATGAAAAAAGGTGCTTACAGGTTATCATAAAGCCTATAAAGACATAAAGGGGGTGCTGCCTATGCAGGTAGTGAGGGAAGGCCTCCCCCCCTGAGCAAGCATGCAAACCAAGTGATAAAATAAGGCCCACCCCGGGCCTGGTATGCAATAGGTACTCAGCCAGTGAGTGACGGAGTGGCCCCTGCCCCCTTCAGTGAGAGGCCCCCACTTCCAGATTTTTGTAGTGGGTTCCTGTCCTGTGGCCCTCGCCCCGCACACCCTCGGCACTCAGCCCCGCCGTTTCTGTGCAGGCTGGCTCAACTACCCACTCGAGAGGATAGGTTTCTGGCGGCGCCTGGAAGACCTCATCCAGGGCCTGACCGGCGAGAAGCCTCGGGCGGACGACATGAAGTGGGCCCAGAAGATCAAGTGACTTCTCCCAGCCTGCCCGATGCCAACCTCCCCCAGCCCCCAGACAAGCCATCTGCCAACTCCAGCCTCTGCGAGCCCCTCCAGGTGGAGAGGGCATCTCCTGGGCTGGCCCAGGCACCCCCAGCCCACCCCGTGACAGAGAATACTTGAGCCACTGGTTTTTCAGTTTCTCTTTGTTGTCTTTGCTCCGCCCTCCCCAGCCACCAGAGCTGCCGTCTGCCAAGCCTGACTTTGCAGAAAAGGGAGCCGAGCCCTGCCCTGCCGCCATCCACTCCCTGCACCTGCTGCCCCCGCCCTACTGGGCAGCCCTTCAGAGCGGCGGCATCGAGGCCTCTGACTCACCTTGGTCTGTCTTTCCTTGACTGGCCCCAGTTATCTAGGGATCCCCTCCAGGACTAGTGTGCCCTGGATCATCGTCCTGCTGTGGCCCTGCAAACTGACCCCAAAGGCCTGGGAAGGTGAACAGCTTCAGCCACTGCCTGCTGTCCAAGTGTGGTGAAGCTTGCCAAGGAAGAGCCCCAGGGGTGGCCAGTGGGAGAGGCCAGAGTCCCTGCCCGAGTCTGGACAGTCCCTTGTCCCTCACCCCCACTTCCACTGTCCATATGATTGCAGCCAGAGCCGATGTTTCCAAAAAGAGGACGTCCACAGGGCACAGCCCTTATGAAAGGGCCTTGGTCATTTGGAAGGGGACAGTGTCATGTCTGACAAAGTGTTTCAGAAGGAAGAGCGGGGCTTTTTTAATTTGGGGTTGTTTTTTTTAAAGGTGCTTGCTTGTTAATGTAAATAATAGAAAGCCTTAATACCTTTTCTGTGACATGAGGTAATATTTTAATGTCACGTTTTGGATGCACATAATATATTTATAACAAAGCAGCCTTGGCTGCCTCGTGGTGTTTCCTGATTGGCTAGGGTGGGGGTCAGGCTCCACCCCCTTCCCATGGCCTCAGGATGGGGCTAGGATACCCGAGGCAGTGACTTGGGGACACTTTCAGAGGGGACTCAGGACCCTGACTTGGGAGTGGCCTTTCGAGTGGATCATGAGAAATGAAGGCAGATCCGTACTGGAGGATCAGCAGAGTGTGTGTGAGCACCTGGTGTGTGGCTCTGACCTGGACACTGGGTACATGGGTGAACAAACCAAGGACCTGCCCTGGTGGTGCTTACCTCTGGGGCAAAGAGACAATAAAACGTAAATAAATGCTCATGGAATTTCCCATGGTGATTTGTGAGAATCAGGCCGGTACCATCTTGGGAAAAGTATGGGGCTGCTGGGGCAGGTGCTCTGAGGAGATTCCATTTGAGCTTAGGTCTGGAGAAGGGCCTCTTCCTAGGACAGCAAGATTGAGGTTAAGGTAGCCGCTGAGTTTGGACTGGAGAGCAAGGAAAGTGGAAGGTCAGGTTGGAAAAATGGGTAGCTGAGGTGAATGGGGGGCCACAGAATATTTTACACGAAAAAGCAACTTATTCTTTGAACAAGCAATTAAAGGGCACCTATGATCCAGGCACTGGGATTCAGTCGTGCACACTAAGCACATTTTTATCAGTCCCTAGCTGTGCTGGGGATGTAGCTCAGGTGTTTGCCCAGCATGCACCAGAACCTGGTGGGAGTTGGGGTGGGGGTCCTAGTAGGGCTGTTGAGGACAGAGAAAATGGCAAGACTTTTTTTTTTTCAGCACTTGGGTTTGAACTCAGGGCCTTATGCTTGCTAGGTAGGTGCTCTACCACTTGAGCCACTCCACCAACATGACAAGGCTCTTAAGAACAGTGTCAGATAGAGTATTTATGTGTTTTTAAAACTGCAATCCATCACTTCATTTTCCTTAACACTTGACATGATTTTGCCTGAGAGACCCAGCTAAAAAAAAGGGGGGTGCTAGAATTTGTTGATTTACAAGTGACAAAACTAAAGCAGAAATGAATAGCTGAAATAATTGTATCAGCTCTAAATCTGAAGAGTTTACAGGTGGCTTGGCAGGATCAGGGGCTCACGGGATTCATCAGAACTTGGTCTCTTTTTCTGGGAATTGAGACTTGACATTGAACCAGCTCCCCAATCTTGATGGAAAGAATCTTCCTTCCCAGTGGCTTTGATGAAAACTCTCATTGGTCTGGGTTGGGCCATGTGTGTGTTCCCCCCTGAGCCAATCACCTGGGCCAGGGGAGGTAAGGTGTTCTGACTGGCCAGAGCTGAAACATACCCTGGAGTGTGGGATCTACCCTTGTCAAGCCACAGGAGTGAGGGGGGGATATTCCCAGAAGAAGATAAAACTGTTAATACAAAAGTCTGGGGTGGGTGGGACTGGCTCCATAGGGACCAGGTGACCAACCTTGGGGCCACAGGGGTTTATTTCCTGTTCCCAGACCCTCCCAACCAGTGTCAGCAAAAACATTCAGCTTAAGTTGAGGGGGGTAACATGAAGGACACAAGGTCCCACAGCTAGTACGGCAGAGGCCACAAGCTCAGCCCATCTCTTCTCCAGAACCCAGGGCCTGGAATGTTTTGCACCGGGTCTGAGTGCACTGGGGTCACTTGTGATCCCTGCGAGGTCAGGGAAATGGCAAACAAGTGTGTGTGGGAGGGGGTGCAACTTAATATCTGCTAAGCACTTAGTGTGCTTGCTGCAGAGAGCTCTGGCAGGTTCCATCCATCCATCCCTCCAGCTTTGAGTACCGTTTGCAGATAGGGAAACTGAGCCGTGGAGGTCATGTGACAAGCCCAAGTTCACATAGACAGTAGGTAGCAGAATCAGGATCCCTGCTCATGTCCGATTCAGAGCCCTTGTGCTAAACTCCAACTCCTCAGCCACCCCAAGTGAGGGAGGGAGGTAAGGCAGGGACAAGTCAGAAGTGTGTCCTCTGAGACAGCAACCCCACATGAGAAATGGCAGCTGACACAGGGGACTGTGATGACCTGGCATCAAGTCCCAGCACAGCTGCTACTCACATTAACTGATTGAAGAGGAACCAGAGAACTGAGCTGTGGCTCAGTGGTGAGCACTGGATTCCAGCCCCAGCAGCAGCAGCAAAAAAAAAAAGGTAGAATTCTAGGTGTTTAAATGCTGACTCCATGTTTAAATCACTGCCAGCTGTGAAGATGCACTGTAGGCTGCAGCTGAAGGGTCACTCAACCCACAAGGTCAAGATCAACCCAGGTGGCATACAGAGACCCAGTCTCAGGGAAGGAAGAAAGGAAGAAAGAGGACTGGAGGTGTGGCTGAAGCAGAAGAGCATCGGCTTTGCAAACCCTAGTCCCTCAAAAAAAAAAAAAACTTTCAACCCAGTGCTGGTGGCTCACACCTGTAACCCAGCTACTCAGAAGGCAGAGATCAGGAGAAGCATGGTTTGGGGCCAGTCCTGAGCAAACAGTTCATGAGACTCTTATCTCAAAAATATATCACATAAAAGGCCTTTGGAGGCATACGGCTCTGAGTTCAAACCCCAGTGTTGCCAAAAAAAAAAAAAAAGTTGAAATTTAAAAAAACACCCAGGCACTGGTGGCTCATGCCTGTAATCCTAGCTACTCAGGAGGCAGAGATCAGTCCACGGCCATACCTCCCTGATCGCCCCCATTCTTGTCTGATCTTGAAAGCTAAGCAGGGTTGGGCCTGGTTAGTACTTGGATGGGAGGAGGCAGAGATCAGGAGGATCAGGGTTTGAAGCCAGGTCCAGGCAAATAGTTCCTGAGATCCTATCTCGAAAAAACTGTCACAAAAAAGGGCTGTTGGAGTGGCTTAAGGTGTAGACCCTGAGTTCAAACCCCAGTACGGAGAAAGAGAGAGAGAGAGAGAGAGGTTACAGCATCCCAGGAACAAAACCAGAGTCGGTGTTTGGGCCTACGGCTGCCTCCCCTCTGCTGGTTTAGGGAGGACCTAGCTTTGTCCTGCCCTCTGGTGGCGGACCAGGGGAGGTGACAGCAGGGCAGAGATTCCTAGCTGGTCTTGGGAAGGTCATACAGCCCCCTTGTGCTCACTTTTCTTTACAGGGGATCTAGGCACAGGCTTCAGGGCACCTGCTCCCAACTTTAACCTCCCACCACTTTTTTGGTAAAACCCTAAATTTTCAAGCTACCCTTTAAATATTGGTTTATAACAGGAAATGCATGCTGAAGGTGAAGAACTTGAATGGCCTCAGGCAGGGTTCAGCCAGCTGCAGCAGGTGGATCCTTGTAGCCACCTGCTTTTCTTGGCCCACGGACTTTTGTTAGGTGGTGGTGGCGGGGTTTCACAACACAGGACATTCAGGGTTAAGGCTGATGCTAAATTGTAATGCACACAGCCAGGTCCACTGCAACAGAGACCACGTGGCCTGGGAAGCATGTAGTACTCACTTGCGGTTCCTTTGCAGAAGTTACTGAACCCAGGTCTGTGGCAAGTCAACTGCTCCATAACTCATGCTCCCCCAAGTTCTCATTTCCCCCCACACCCACCTGAGGCCATCATTTTGGCAAGACCCTTGTAAGTCCCTGAGTACAGGCATTGAGGTCTGTCTGTCTCCACACAACAGGCAGGACGTGACACATAGTTCTCCACTGTCCCTTCACCATGTTTTGGAGGCAAGGTTATTTTCAATGATCGGAAAGCTTCCTTCCTCCTTTTTTACAGCTGCATAGCATTCTGACTTCAAGATAGACCCATCTTTATTTTGTAAACCCACCTCTCACTGGAAGTTGAGGTATTCCCAGCCTTAGGTGTCACAGCTGCTCTGTGTACAACCGAGAACTTCCGGCTTTGGATCTGAGGGCCAGTGGACAAGATGGGTCAATAGCAGGAACTGAATTACTGAGTGAAAGGCTGTCTGAGATTTCGATATTGATAGCTCACCAATAGCCTCCCACAAAGGCCAGGCCTGGTGACTCTCAGGCAGAGTGCCCGTTTCCCCACAGCCCTGCTGATACAGCGGTACCAAACGCAGAGTTCTTTGCCCATCTGATATGTGGTTTTAATTTGCACTTCACTTACTGTATTTCATCGAATGTATGATGTCACAAGAACTAGGATGAACCCTGATTATGTGGATGTTTGAATTAAATCTTTTGTGACTGGGTGTCACGCTGAGTTTAAAGAGTTTATGAGCCAGGCACTGGTGGTTCACGCCTGTAATCCTAGCTACTCAGGAGGCAGAGATCCATGTCACAGCCAGGTGTGGGGGTGCACTGTAGGCCCAGCCACTCTAGGCTGTAGTTGAAGGGTAATTTGAACCCACAAGTTCAAGATTAACCCAGGCAGCATACAGAGACCCAATGAAAGAAAGACAGAGAGAGAGAGGGAGAGAGAGATGGAGGGAAGGAGGGAAGGAAGGAAGGAAGAAAAGAAAGCGAGAAAGAAGAAACAAAAAGAAAGAAAGGAAGGAAGGAAGAAAGCAACCCAAATGCCAGTGGCTCACACCTTAATCCTAGCTACTCAGGAGGCAGAGATCAGGAGGATCACGGTTCAAAGCCAGCCCAGGCAAATTGTTTCTGAGACCCTATTTCAAAAAAGTCCATCACAAAAAACGATTGGTGGAGTGGCTCAAGGAGTAGGCCCTGAGTTCAAGCCCCAGCACTGCAATAAATACATAAATAAATAGCTTAGGAAGTTCTCTAATTTTCTGGATGCCAGGGCAGTGGTGCTGTGCTGACAAATCTTGATTGTTACCTTGACTGGATTGAAGAGCCCAGGAGATGAGCAGAGCTCAGCTCTGGCTGTGTCTGAGGATGAGTCCAAAGGATTAACTAAGGGGGGAGGACCCGCCTGGATGTGGCCAGCACCTTCCCATAGGATGGGGGCCCACATGGAATAAAAGGGGAAATGGAGAAAACCCCAGGAGCACGGGCATATTCTCATTTATTCTTTCTCTCTCTCCCACTCCCTCCTGGCCACCATGCTCTTGTCAGGCACTCTGTCACAGTGACAAGGAGCTAATTAACACAAGTTAAGAGCTGGGGGTTAAATCCCAAATGTACTACTTATAAGCTTGTGACTTTGGGCAAGCTACTTAACCTGTGCTATGGTTATCTATCTTTTCGGTTTCCTCCCCCTCCTCCTCCATCTTTGGTTTTGAACTCAGGGCTTCATGCTTGCAAAGCAGTGCTTGAGCCACACGTCCAAAAGTAAGATGATACAAAACCCAGACAATGCAGAAATAAGTTGTACAGGAAGAAAGGCTGCAGTGTAGCTCAGTGGTAGCTGGAGTTCCATCCCTGAAATAAAAAATAAAAACATATACGGATGCCCATCCATAAAGAAGTGAATGAAATCTGCTATGAGTCCCTCCTGGGCTGTACATTTTAGCAATAAAAGCACATAGCCAGACACCGGTGGCTCACGTCTGTAATCTCAGCTACTTAGAAGGATTTAGTTTGAGGCTGAGGATGTAGTTTGAGGCTGACCCCAGCAAATAGTTCGTGAGAGCCCATCTCCAAAATAACCAGAGCAAAGGACTGAAGGTAAGAGAGCCTGCTTAACAGGAGCAAAAGCCCAAGTTCAAAGCTCAGTCCCACCAATAAAAGAAATTATAATCTTTTCCTAATAAACTCTGCTATCATCTTACTTATTTTGGCAGCACTAGGATTTGAACTCAGGGCGTCACACTTGCTAGGCAGGCCCTCTACCACTTGAGCCACTCCATCAGCCCTTTTATGTGGTGGATTTTTTCAAGATAGGGTCTCAAGAACTATTTGGCCAGGGTGATTTTGAACCTTGATCCTCCTGATTCTGCCTCCTGAACAGTTTAGGATTACAGGTGTGAGCCACCGGTACCGGCTTCATTAAAAAAAAAAAAATAGCAGCACACATTAAAATGTCTCAATTTTATGCTCAGACACATGTTGGGGGGGATGTGACTCCACATATGTGCCATAAAATGCTAGAAGCAAATGTGTCACACAGGCCATTAGCCACAGACCCCTTTTCCCTGCCGTGGATTTGTTCTGGGTGTCCACGGCCCTTGTTGAAATAGCCATCAGCTGGGCTTTCTGTACTTTGTACTGTGGAGGCTACTGAGGTTGGCTTTTCCCCTTAACTATAAACTGAGATCATCAGCGTGAAAGTATTGTCAATGAATAATTTTGTGTTTTGACATTTTGAATGTAACTTTTCAAATGACTTATATCTTTCATATCCAGAGATTCCTAAACAGCCCTCAGGAGTGTTTCCACCTTGTTAGAACAGAGGTCTTTTCTTTTCACCAGGGAAGCACTCTGTCACTGAGCTCCATCCCCAGTCCCAGAACAGTTTTTGGATGAATGCTGAATGCGGGGGAAGAGTCAAGTCTATACATCACCGGACTGACAGTCCCGGGTCTGTCAGCCATGCTTTTTTGGCTTGAGATAACAGAAACCTACCTTTGAGAGACACTCCCCATGTCATGTCTTAAGTGTGTAGAATCTGGGCTTGGTGGTGCACACCTATAATCCCAAAGCTAGGGAGGCTAAAGCAGGAGGATTGATGAAAGTTCGAGGTCAGCCTGGACTATATAATGAGACCCTGTCTCATTAAAAAAAAAAAAAAGTTTGTAGCTAAATGGTCCCAGAATTTCTTCTGCTGTACAACCACATCTCCCAGGACCCTATTGCTATCTTTCTGTGTTTGCATCTTGGAGTATAACCTGTGGGCCTCAGGCTTTGTGCCTCATGGTCTCATTGTGGTTACACAGTTCCAACCATCACTTCATTTGTACAAAGGAAACAAGACCAAAAAAAAAAGGCTTTCTTTCCCAGCTTTTAACAGGGAGGGAAATGATTTCCCCATGTGGGGATAGGTGACTACCTGGCATTCAACAGTATCTAACACACCTCTTCTCTGGACCCCACTTCCAATAGCTGCCCAATTCGGATCCACGTCCAGTCTCCTGGAGGCAGCCTGGCTACATTCCGCCTGAAACCTCCGAGGCTCCACCTCCCTCACCGCAGGGGGACCAGCAGGTGCCCAAAACTTGAAAGAAGTGGATTCCAAACCTGATTTTGTCCTTCCTCGTGGCGTGACCCTGGAAAGGCCATCTGTCTCCTCCGAGCTTCAGATTCCTTATCTGAGATGGTAATAGCCACTTTGCAAAGGTCAGAGGATTAAATAGCAATGTCAACTAATAACTATAGCACCTTCTCACTGCCAGACCTTCTTCTAAATTCTCTCGTTCTTTTAACCATTTTAATCTTAGGATTCTCTTATCCCATCAGCCGAATTGACCTGCTCTAGCGCAGAGCTGGATGAGGCTGAGACCGGGAGGAAGACGGCGCTGGGGACTGGCTATGACATCTGGGGAGGGGGCGGAGTCTCTTCAGGGGAGCGTGAGCGCGGGAGCACTACAACTCCCAGCAGGCCCCGCGACACAGCTGGACTACAATGCCCAGCATACTTCCGCCTCGCTTAACCTCCTCCTCTTGTGTTGCGCTCCGCACGGAAATTCGCATTCCCAGATTTGCCTGCAAGGTATTTCCAGTGAGAACCAAAGAATCTATGGAAGCAAAGATTTTATAAGCATGGGGAAAAAAGGCTGGTGTTTTAGCCCTCACTCTGAGTCTCTTTTGTCATCTTTGAAGTACATTATATACATGTAGGGAAATATCACAATAAACCACTTTGTACAATTGATTTGTTTATGAAAATAAAATAAAATGGGAATATTCCTAGGAGTGGCCGCATCGAGTTGTGAGCTGCAAAAAGCAGGATGTAATGACCTTGTAAAAGTCATCTCTTCCGGAGGCCTTTCCTCCCTATGCCATGGAGTGTTGTTAAAGTGTTTGCCTCCAGGGCAGTCTTATGGGGCCATACTATCTTCCCTCTTCAGAAAGGGGAAACTAGGACTGGAGCTTGGCTCAAGTGGTAGAGCGCCTGCCAGCAAGTGCAAAGCCCTGAGTTCAAACTCCAGTAACCACCAATAAAAATGGGGAGGGGGGAGGGGGGAGGGGGAGGGGGGAGGGGGAGCATGCCAGACAGAAAAGTGAGTAGTATAAAGATTCGAACCTAGAAGATTTTACTTGAAGTGAATCTACCTCAACAGCCCAAACACAAAAAGAAAAATATAAATGAATAAAAAAAAAGGAGCCCAAACGTTTCCACTTGCTGCTGATGCTTTAGTGACCCAAAGTCCAGAGAAGTATTTTCTGTGCTCCACAAGTCAAATTTGTATCTCATGACACACAAAATAAAGTCAAGTTGCATCACCTCAGAAACAATTGGAACACCTAGCACTTTGAGTCAATTACAGTTTCAGATGACCTGCTTGGAGAAATCATGGAAGACTTTCCTGAGGAGGTGATGGATGCTAGATCTGAGAATTGATGCGTGAGAACAATACAGCAGGCAACGGCCCTGAAAAGGAAAGTTATGTTCCAGAGCTTTGAAAAGAGCCAGTGTCTGCACTGGAGAGGTGCAGCATGTCAACCGAGCAAAGACTAGGGTGAGGCACACACTTTGAATCAGGACCTAAAGGAAAGCCCAGCCATGGGCGCAGGGTCTTGGAGTAAGGCAGCCATCATCCTAGTTTGCCTTGGGGAGACTTGGTTTCCACCCTTTGTCCTGGAGATTATAATAGGCTCCCCACAGTGTGATGCACACCCTCATTGGATAATGGTTCTATGGTTACTCAATTTGTGTATCTACTTTGTCCTGAAGCAATGGGGAGCTACTGAAGATGTTAGCTGGAGGGTGTTCCCATCTGGCCTATGGGGTGAAAACGAGGCAGCCAAGGTCATCCAGTGGAAGACAAGGCAGCCTCAAGTGGATGGAGAGATGCTTAGTTATCACTGCTGTCAGTTCTAGGTGAGGGCATCCAGCTTCCTTGGTCCTCTGTACTGAAAGTACTGATCCTCCTCTGCTGGGGTTTAGCACTGTGACCTTGAGTCAGTTCCTTGTCTTTCCCAGCCTCAGCTTCCCTACATATAAGGGCTTCATGAGAAAGGCGGTGCTTGTCAGGTTTATCGCTTATTTGGAAATATCTACGCAGGGCCTTTGCACATGCTGTTCCCGCTACCTCCTTTGCAACATTTAGGTTTCTGTTGAAATGCGACCACCTTAGGGGACTCTTCCCGACCATCCCCTGGTTTATTCTCTATCCTATACGTTCTCTGTCCTATTTGTCTGCTTGCTCCCTGTCTCCAACTAGTTTGCGAGCGGGGCCTTGTTTCTTCGGGGATGTATGTCCATCTCCAGCACATAGTGTGTGCACCCTGTCCCAAGCCTGTCTTGGCCAGGCAGCATCGATCCTGGGAAGCAAGACCATCTGGCCTGGGTTCAAAACCTGACTCAGCCACAAAACAGCTGAGTTTACATTAATAGCTTAATCCGTCTCAGTTTCATTTTCCAAATGAAGCCCGACCTGGTGGAGACGGTACGAAGACCCAACAGAGAGGAAATGGCCGAGGCCAAACAGGAGCTTTTGGCTCGGCAGCTCTTTGCTCCTGGTACGCGCCCTCGCAAGCCCAGTCACCCTGCCCCCGACGCCAAGCACCTCGATACGTCCCTGGCACCCGGGCGGGGGTGCCTTGCCGGTTGCTGGGCCCTCGCGCACGCAAACGCTTCCTGTCTCCGCAAGGGAAGAGCTGCCCTTCCCGGCCCAGGTCGCGGGCCCCGGGCGAGCGTCAGTGACGGCGTCTGCGCATGCGCGCGCCTGCGCGGTGCGGCCCGGGGACGCCGGGGGGGTGAAGAAGGGGCAGGCCTTCGAGCGACAGCGACGCAAGATGGCAGCCACCACGGGCTCGGGTGAGCGGGGGCGCCGGGTCCGGCGGGCAGAGGGTGTGCAGGCTGGGTCGGGGCCGGGAACCCACCGAGGTCTTTGCAGCGGGGCCGGCGTTTCCGAGCCACCTCCGGCCGCTGGGCTCCGCGGCCGCGACTCGCATGGCCCGGCGGGGGAGGAGGAGCAGGCGGTGGCCGGAAGCACGGGCGGGGGCCTGAGGGGCCCGTGGGCGGCGCGGCCGGGCCTGAAGGCTCCCCCGGCGGCCGAGCGCCCCGCGGAGGGGAGGAGCAGGGCGCCGCTGGGTCCCGGCTGGGCGAGGGCGAGGCCGGGGGTGCCTGGGGAGCCAAGGGCCCGGGGTCCCCTGAAAGAGGAGCAGACGTCCCGGGGCGGGTGAAGATTCCCCTGAGGGGCTGGGCCCGGGCGAGGGGGAGCTTGGGGATGCCTGTTAGAGGGGACACGGGAGACGCCTCGGCGTGGATTGGGGGTGGGGGGAGCGGGATCCGAGGGGCGACGGCTGGAGACCCCCGGGGCCCCGGGCTGTGTTGATTGCAGAGCAGGATGGTCGCAAGGTGGCCGAACCGGGGGGCATCTTTATACGAGGAGCGAGGGCAAAGGAGTCTTGCAGAGGCATCTGGCCGGGGCCACCGAGGAATGGGGTTGTGGGTGGGGGCGGTGGCGACGGATAGCTAGTGACCCCAACATTGCCAGGCCGTATCCGAGGTGTAAGATTGATTTCTCCACATTAGGTCCGAGGAGGCTGCTGGGAGTGGACAGAATACGGTGTGAGGAAGAGCCGGTGGACTGGAGCCCGGGCTGGGTGTTGGGGGGCGGTGTCCATTGGAGGGGAACCCGTACGTGGGGGAGACCCGGAGAGGTCAGGGGCCACAGATGCTTCTTTTAGAGCGAAAACTACCTCCTTTGCATTGTATGAGGGAAGCAGGCCCCCAAAGAGTCTGTGGTGTGGAGGCCACCCCTCCCTTCCAGTCCTTCTGACATGTGTGGTCCAGGCTCAGAATGAGTACCCTGGGGGTGATGGGGGGGACCTGCAAGAGGGAAAGGAGGGGTTCTCTTGGGGAGGGTCTCTTCCAGATCCCAGTAGGCAGAGCTCTGCCCCCAAAATGGGCAGAACCTGCAGGGTGCGTTTTAAGGATTGCACCTTGCAGTTGGAGGTCAGAGGAAAGATGGTCTGGAGCAGGTGGGGTGGACGTTGGCCAGGGAAGATCCCTCTGAGGGGCTGATGAGGACAGAGTCTGAGTCTGGAAGCACAGGATGTGAGAGAGACATGGGCCCCCTTTTAATGTGGAGGCTCTTAGGTGGGGTTCTCACAGTTCCCCACTATGGCCGCAGGGACACCAGTGCTGAAGTCCTGAGTCTATTTAAGACCACAGGAGGGGGCGAGAGGCAGTGGGGGAGAGATGGCCCAAACAATGTGTGCACATATGAATAAATGAATGAATTTTAAAAAAGCCACAGCGCAGCAGTGTTAGGTGGGGAACAGGGTGAGGGTTGAGATGTTGCTCCTCTGCTATCCCAGGGAGCCCTTCATGTCTGACGGGTGAGAATGAAAGAATTGGATACAGGGGACCTGTCTGAAGTGACCAGTCACAAACTGCCTTTTGCGTGTAAAGCCAGGGTCTTCCTGGAGCTAAGTGGAGTCCACACTTCCCTTACATGGATTTTGGTTCCAGCCAGCACAGTGCTGAGTCAGTTGTCTACACAACCCTGCCACTGGCACTCCCAGCAGGCCAGGCTGCTGAGGGAACCTCTCACCAGAGTGCCAGGGTGCTGTGAAGTAGGGTGCACAGTGTGCCTGTGGCACCAGTGTTGGGGTGGTGGGGTAGCTCAGTCGTGTTTGCAGTCACTTGAGATGGACTCCCTCCGGTCAGGTTTGACAGTTATTTAATTCTTAGTTGAAGAGTGCTTCACAGATGCTGGGCTGGTTGGCCAAAATGTTAGCAGCTGCTGTCTAGAGGACAGGAGCCTTTGGCATGGTTTAAATAGCACAGGACAGAGTTTGAGGTCCCCTAAAACAGGCTTCTCAAAACTTTTTGTCTTTATCCAACAGGTATTTATTGAGGGACTGTTTTGTCCTCTTGTGAATAGCAAACAAGACAGATGTGGCCCCTGTCCTTAAAATTCCCTTCAAGTCAAGGAGAGGCTATTGAGGGTGTGAAAAAGATGATTCCAGACAGCAGTAAGTGCTAGGAGGGAAATTGTGCGATGTGATAATGTCTGGAGATGAAATGGCTGTCAGGGTAGACTTCTGAGAAGGGAACCGTTGAACTGAGACATGATGGAAAGAGCCAGTCCTACAGCATATGTCATAAGCAGGAAGTAGGGCTAGGGGTGTGGCTCAAGTGGTATCACCCCAAAAAACATGCTAGGAGATGGGGGCGTGACTCAGTGGTAAAGTGCATGCTTAGTGTGCTGGGGATCCTGGCTTCAATCTCCAACACTAAAACAAATAAGGAGGAAGTGGGAGAGGATTGTCAGTGCAAAGGCCCTGTGGTATGACTGAGCTTGGCATGTTGAGCAGAATAAAAGCTGAGTGCCAGTTACTCACCTGTGATAATCCTAGCCACTTGGGAAACTGAGATCTGGAGGATCATGGTTTGAGGTCAGCCCATGCAAATAGTTTGTGAGATCCCTGTCCCAAAATAACCACAGCAAAATGGACTAGAGTATGGCTCAAGTGGTGGATACCAGCTTTACAAGTGCAAAGCTCTGAGTTCAAATTCTAGTCCCACCAAAAAAAAAAAATCCCCAGAAGTTCTTAGTGCATAAGGTAGACACACTTTTAAGGAGATGAGTTGGAGAGATTGAGCTTTGGATCTTATCAAGGGCAAGGGCAAATCATCGGATCAGTGTCTGGTTTGAAGTAGGTACTCAATAAATATTTGTTGAGTGAATGAATGAATGTCTTTAAAAGAGGGGAATAATAGAATCTAACCTGTGCCCAGAGGTAGTGTCAGGAATGCAGAGTGGACACAGAAAGACCTTAGTGGCTTAAACTGGAGGAAGTAGACAGGCCTCAGCTTCTCACCTTGAGGAGCGTTTCAGGTGTGTTCACGGGCCTGGACTCGGCTTTAGATGGAGCCTCTGGATGAATCTGTTCCCTTGTTGCCAGGAAGCAACCTTTGAGTTCCTGTAAGGCTGAACCGAGCTTGTGGTCACTGCTGTCAGCACTTGCTGATGCATTTTACCACTTCCCACGGTTCTACAGCGTGCAGTTCCTGCACAGGTCACAGAGAGTGAAACTGAAAAGCCCCATAGTCCCCAGGATGGCTTCATGGTGACAGGCGACTTCCTTCTGCCTTGTCCAGGATTCCTGGACCTCAGACAGTACCCTTAGCTGCCAGGTCCTTCCTCTCACAGCAGCCATGGCAGTTAACCATAAACCAAGTGGCAGCCAGTTGCCCTGCTGGGTGTGGTGCAAATTTGCATACATAGGAGTGGCCTTGCATACAGCCAGTTTATCAAAACAACTTCTGGGTGGTAGAGATTAGGTGGTCTTCTCTTCCATGCAAGGGTGTTCCCCAGAGAAAACTAGACCCTCTGTTCCTGTGGGAGCCATCCTGGGTGATTCACTAGATGCCTCATGTACCCCATGGGCCCTGCGTTCACGAGAGCGGTTCATATTGCGTCAGCCAAGGAGCCAGCAGTCAGCTGGTGGTGGAGCAGGACTGGCTTTGCTGGGCTAGCACGTGCTGTTGTGATGTTAAGGGGTGCCTAGGTTCATTGTGCTCATGATCCACCCCTTCACATGAACTTGAAAATCACCCTCCTTCCCCTCCATGTTCTGTTTCCTTCCTTATTCCTCCTCCCCCCACCCCAAACTACTGCAGTAGTTTGATGACAGTGGGGTACAAATGTCAGGAATCCTCTGCTCAGTCCAGAGGGCCCCAGTGAAGTACCGAGCAGTACTTATTGCTATTTTTACAGTATCTCTAGTGCTTCCCACTGTCCCAAGCTGACTACTTTGCCTGACTTCCTGGGCCAGCCCATCCAGCATTCCACAGCCCAGTGAGCTGCCCAGAGGAGGTGGCAGCCCCCCAGATTCTCCAGAGAAGAGCTACTTCAGGGAGATGAGTGGCTGGCTGAGGAATGCTGATGTTCACACGGGAGCCAGGTGCTTTGTCTCTAATGTCCCATCTCTGTCCCCGTTTCCCATCCCCAGAACCTTATAGGAAGAGAAGGCATGGATTTTGGCATAGCTCTTCCTGAGTCTTAGAGTGTTTCATCTTGGTGAGAGAAGCAGCTCTAGTGAGAACTGCCTGCCCCTCACTTCCAGAATTCTTTTTATAGCATCATTGGCCACTGTTACCCTTCTAGGTGATGTGCTATCCAGTGAGGGTGAGGTCTTTTTCCCCCATACTTTTTTTTTTTTTTTTTTTTTTGGTGTTACTGGGGTTTGAACTCAGGGCCTCACACTTATTAAGGCAGGCACTCTACTGCTTGAGCTGCTCCACCAGGCCTGTTTTTTTATGTTGGGTATTTTCAGGATAAGATCTCAGGAGCTATTTACCTGGGCTGGCTTCATACTGCAGTCCTCCTGATCTCTGCATCCCAAGTAGCTAGGATTATAGGCATGAGCCACTTGTGGCCTGGCCCAGCTTGCTTATGTATGTTTATATGTTGTGTTGCTGGGGATGGAGCCCAGGGCCTTGTGTATTCTAGGCAAGTGCTCTTGTTCTAGTACCTCTACCACAAAGCCACACAGCCATTTTTATGGATGTTGTTGTGCACACTTTATACTGAGTAACTCCCACCTGCTAGCCTCAGGCAGTGTGTGCCATGTGCAGAGCAGTCTTCGATCGAGTATAGATGCATACTATGTGCTGGATTCTGTTAA